CACACTGGCTTCTGCAGCCCACACTGGCCACTGCAGCCCACACTGGCTACTGCAGACCACAATGGTCACTGCAGCCCACACTGGCTACTGTAGACCACACTGGCCTCTGCAGCCCACACTGGCTACTATAGACCACACTGGCCTCTCCAGCCCACACTGGCTACTGTAGACCACACTGGCCAATGCAGACCACACTGGCTATTGCAGATGCTGAGGGCACAGTGAAGATGAGGCTAACAATTCATGGGTTCCTCAGAAAGAGAATGCTCTGCCCTATTGGAGGACTAAACAATACAGTACTTAGCCAGCAAAACATGTTCCCACTATAGAGAGATGGGTAGGGCCCAAGCATGGCTTCCAGTACCACCAGGTAACAGTGCAGACAGATGCAAAAGGTCTTCTCATTTGTCTTTGTAATAAAATGAATAACTTCCTTTTGAAAAGGTGAAACCACGACCCTGGCCAAGTCCTCGGTGATATGCAGCTATGTGCCAAGGACTACCACTGTAACCACCTCAATACTCTATCATTTTGTGTCCTCTTGTTTCCCCAGGCACAAAATGTCACAAACAGAACACCACCCCAGATCACAGACCCTTACTGCCGTCCAGTCCAGAAACCGCAGAAGTAAAGACAGAAGGAGAGAGAGCAATCTGTGACACAGTGATGTTTCCTACAGTCACCTGAGCCATGGACTTAGAGATTGTATGTCTCTAACTAAAAAAAGCCTAACAGATCTAAGAGATCCAAACAGTTTACAAACAACGTTTAACAAAGCAACTGTTTAGGGTTATGATGAACCGTGCTGAGGCCAAGCCAGAATTATTTCCAGGAGAAAGAATTTAAGAACTGTAATTACATATGAAAAGTTGAACATTTTTCCCAACATAAATCCACCACAAAATTAGGGGAAAAAAACATAACCCTCAATGATTTTTGATATTTAAAAATTAAATAAAAATCCTTTAGGAACCAAGTATAGGCATTCCCACCAGCTTTGAACGCCTACCCCATCTTGGGTGCAGGGCAGAGTGTGTTGGGAACCCAAGCAGGGATGAAAAGAAGGGTCTGTGGAAGTGACAAATCAGCCATTTCTCCCACAGTTGGAAGACGTGTGTGACCACAGCCTAGCATCCTGGGAGCTCTTCTGTTAGAGCTAGGATACAGATCTTAACAAGAAGAGATTGGGGGAACCTACTGGTCATATGCAGTGAGCTAGAGGTAGTCCCTCTACCCAGGCAAAGTCCAGTACATCAGAAGTAAGAGAGAGAGGATGCTGGGTAAACAAATCCACACACTCCAGGCTCTGGGCATATCTGACTCCCATTCACTCAAGAGGCAGAAGTGACATTAGAAGCCAGGGAAGACTTTTCCAGATGTTGGTCTCAGTATCCAGTCCAGGGCCTGGTGTATCTGACCCCACATAGACACTGTGTTCCCTGCAGCCATGCTGGACACACAAGTCATATGGCAAAGGGCCCGTAAGGACACGGGGGTAGAACCTGAAGAGGAGACAGTGAACTCAACAGCCCAGGGGTGGGGTTGGGGGTGCTAAGTGGGGGTAGTCCAGCTCCTTTCCCGGAGCCGCCAGACTCAAACTCCTATCTGAAACAGCTCTGCTCTGGTCTACAACACACCAGCATGAAACTGGCTTAGGGGAAGGAGAAGACAAAAGATACACCACAGAGCAGAGATGAACACCCTGATGTTCCCATCTCAAGAACCTCACTCCTCCAAATTCCACAGCCTGACCCCAGAGACCATCCCCTCCCCAACTCTGAGACTCAACACTTGAAGGGGCCCTCGTCGTAAGTTCTCTCGCCTTCTCCCCACCACACTATCTTCAGAGGTTACATGCCTAGCTTGCCTGAATCCACAAGGACTATGCTTGTGCTCGCTATTACTCCCAGGGATGCCCCTGGGAACTCCATTTACCATGTCTCTACCAGATTCCCAAGCAGCAACGAGATAAGTATGTCAGACTGCAGACCACTCTGACTTGGACTCATCACACACCAGCACCCGATGGTAGGGACAGGCAAGCCAGGCCTAGAATCACAGCAGAGGACTTACCCCCTTTTCTTCTCCGGATGGAAGCTTAGAATTGAGAAACAGAGCAAAGGGAGTTAAGAGGAAGACCTTATTACATGGCCCCTGGGCCACTCTGCACAATTATTTCTGGTTCCTGTTCTCCACATCCCCACCTCCCCAACAACCAGGTCCCACAGGTCTGTCCCCATCTATGCCTCCTTCTGAGACCAGTAGAACAAGCCTAACAATGCTCTAAACCTCTAGAGGAGAACAAGCAAAAGCGGGAAGACACGTCGTGTACACATGCATACTCACAAGCATGCACACACACACACACATGTGCACACATGCACACACAGAGATGTGCACAATTAAACTGTACTTTGGAGCAGCCAGATGTTCAGAACTATTCACCAAGGTGGGTCACCTTTGAACACTCTGTACTGAGATTTTTGAAAGGTTTGTTTTTGTGGTACTGCAGATGGAACCCAGGGCCTTGAACATGCTGGGCAAGCGCCACACTACGGATACACACCTCTATATCCCAAAGCAGGTCTGTAACGGCAAGCAGGATCCGTATTTGGTAAAGAAATCTTCTCTAGACTAAGGCAGTAGCAGGGACCTAGGCTGACCTCTTATCACAAAAGAAAGACCCAGAAATTGAGGGAAGTCTTAATTTGACCTACATAAATGCCCGGGACCAGTTTGACCACACTAGGTCCCTGCCATGGGTTTCTGTTAATCCACGTCCATGACTCAAGCTGACCATATAGGCGTACTTGGTAAAGGAACTCCAGACTACAAAGAGAATGGAGAAGGGGGTGACCTGTGCCTCTTCCCCCTCTCCCACCTCTTATGAACAACCCTTCCATTTTTTTGAGATGTGGTCCAGATCGTCCTTGAACTCACTCTGTGAGTTCAGACAGGCCTGGAACTCACAGTAATCCTCCTGCCTCAACCTCCTGAGCGATAAGTACATGCCACTTCACAGAGTTCTCCCGATGATTTGTGCCAGACACCACCACTTCCATTTTATTTAATTAATTGATTTAATTTGGATCAACCTCTGCTCACTCCATTAGTTCCCGAGAACTCAACCTTCTTCTTCCTCCTACCTCACCCTGCCTCCTCCTCTACACAGCATGAGCCTCAATCCCTGTACCCATGTCCCCCTCACCTCACACTGGTTTCTTCTGCCCAGGTGTTCAGGTTATCTTTTTGACAAACATGGCTCCTAAGGGGCTCCACCAGTGACTGGCAGAATAGGCATGTTTATAACAGTGGTGACTCAGCATGTCTCATTTCTACCTTTTAAAAGCACACACAAATCCAGGCATGATAGAACATGTCTGCAATCCTAGAACTCAAAAGGTATAGGCAGTTCAACAGCTGCCTGGACTACAGAATCACCCTGTCTCGAAGTAAAAGAATAAACAGTGGATTGTGGGATGCTTGGGGATTTGGAGAACTCTATGATGGTCTGCCTTCCTCAAATCAGACACTCCCAGAAGGACCAGGTCATCTCTCAAGATAGTCTTTGAGTCAGGGCAGCTTACTGAGCCACTGACTTTGGTTTTTCTCTAAACACAGGACTATTCAGAACCTGGTTCCAGTTTCAATAGCTAAGGCCCTGGATATAGGAGTTTAGGCAGAGGCTCAGGCTGAGCTGCTCCCACACCCCTTCCAGCCTCTACTCAGAAATACCATGATACCCTGCTCCTCTGGCCCACCAAGATCTGTAGCTGTAGTTACAACTATAGCTGTAGTTATAGAGCAGAGAAAAACATTTAACTTCTGCTTCCATGTCTACAGACAAAAGCCATAGCCAGACAGAGTTCTTCCACTCCTAGAGCAGTGCCTCTAGGGAGTGCAGAATTCAGGATAAATAACACACACCTCTTAGTAGAAAGTCAGAAAGGCCCTTCTGACTTGGTTATAGAGCAGCTTCTAGCAAGAGACTCTAGGACTGTGCACCAAGGTCCAATCAGACCCAGTTGTCTACCATATTGGTTTATTGATCCATGGCATAGGTCTGTTCTCTATGACTGACCTGGGTTAGATCTGACACTGAGTCGTGAAGTCTACTGGTGTCTCGGCTCTCTCTAGTCAACCAGTTTGGCTAAAATGATTTTCATCATCTTCTGTCTCTACCTCTCCTGATGAAACAAGTCAAACCATTGCTCACTCTGAGACACCGACTCCCTCTACTGGCTCTGGTATTTTTAAACATTTTTCTGCTTGTCTGTGGCATTTTAAATTTCTACTCTGACAGATCATATTTATTTGTGACATACTTCTTCAGAAAAGAGTCTCATATTTCTGTTTGCTTTTTGAGAGATCCTTAGCCTTTCTATTAATTTCCTCTGGAATTCCTATCGAGTAGATGTTGCGGTCTCCTTGTTTGTCCTCAGGTCCCCTAACTGGTCCTTGATGGCTTCCTAAGCTGATTCTGGATGGTCAAACTGATCTTCTCACTCACTGTTATGGTTTTTTTTTTTTTTAGCAAGTCCTGGATTCTGTATCTCCATGCCACAGACTCTTCTGTGTGTAGCTTGTTTGTTTGTTTGTTTCAATGAGTTAAGGATCATCCCAAACTTGCTTGCCACTGTTGTTCATATTATCCTGTTAATTTCACTAACTCTGTTACATTTCCTGCCTTTATGTAACTGAAACCTTTTACTGTACTCCCATGCTCTGATCTCCAGTTCTTTTCAAAAAAAGAATTTTTTAGATTATTTTGGGTGCTTCTGTCTGCGTGTATGTATGCATACCATGTTCATGCCTGGTACCTAGGAGGTGAGAAGGGTTGGATGGTTGAGACCCTTTATGTGGGTGCTGGGAACCAAACCTGGGTCCTCTTGGAGAGCAACAAGCACTCTTGAGTGCTTGCCCATCACTCCTGCCCCTTCTGTTTTTTATGCTAATCTCAGAGTCTATAGTTGCTTCTGGTTTTTACAAGTCCACAGCACATCTTCTAACCTTACAGGGGCTTCAGGACCTGGCACTGCCCTTGAGAACTGCCATCAGGAACCAGAGGCACCAGGTTCCTAATTCCTTCAGCTTTGATTTTCTGCTTCACTTCTGAAACCACAGGATTCCTCCTCCTTTACACTATCTGTAATTTTTATTTTATTCAAAATGTTTTCATAGAAAATCCTGCTCACGTCAGCCCTGCTATCTTGGTAACTGTTTTCCAAACCAAACTAAAACTTCAGTCAAGGCACCTGCTTGGAACGTAGCAACTCAGCCTACAGCCAGGACATGGTCAACGCTGAGTCCATAAGCAAAAGACAGGGATAGTTCTGAGAGCCAGGATAAGGGTTTCCTTTCATGACAGAAGCCAGAGAAAAGTCTGAGAATTTGATTAGGCTCAGACCACAAAAGCAAAGAGTGTTTCAACCTGTCAGACATATACCCACCATGGGACTGTTGACAGTTATGATGCACCCACCATAAGGCTCTTAACAGCCAAACACATTAGCACATGCCCACAACGACAATAAAAACCACACATATCTGCACATGCCTATGATGAGACTAAGAACAGTCCTATGTGTCAAGATGTGATCATGCATATAGGACATACCTATGACGAGGCTGGTAAATGTCACATATCAGGACATGGCTGTGAATATGAGACATGCCCATGACAAGGTTAACTGGCATATGTGTCAAAATATGTCACGCATATGGGACGTGCCCATGACAAGGCTGGTAACTCATACACTTGTCAAGATGTGCGGCTCATGTACATGGGACATGTCCACGTTGAGGCTAGATATTTGTATACATGTCAGAGCATCATAGTCATGTACAGGAGACATGCCTATAACAAGGCTGGTAACCGTCCTACATGTGCACATGCATACAGGATGTGTTATGCATATGGCCATAATAAAGTTGGCAACTGCCCTACGTCAGGATGGGATCGTGTGTATCAGGAAATACCCACAGCGAGGCGGTTGGGAGTCAGCCTGGGACTGTATCCATTAGAGGCTAACATACTTTTTGCCCACCTCCTGCAGTTCACAAGGCCCCATCCCCTCACTGTGTTAGAGGTGCTCACAGATACCTCAACTGGGTCAATAGACTCACTCAGCAGAGAAGTGAGCAGGTACCAACCGAGAAAAATAAACACAGAGGTGACCTGGCTCATGCCAGGCAGATTCGGGAGCAGACTCTAGGTTGCTCCACCACTGCTCTCTGCCAGCTAAATTGAAATGCAAAGTCTTGGTGGAAAAGCACAGAACCAGGGACAGCGCTCACACACACATGCATGTGCATGCATGCGGGCATGCTACGGGGCCAGACCTTGTTCCCCAGCCATCTGTCCTCATAGTCCCTGCCCAACTCCAGCTCCTCACGCTGCCCTGAGTCCTCATCTCCTCCCTTGCTCTCACACTCCTCGCCCAAGGTACCCACTTTCCCCATCGCTCCAGTCCCACCCCTAACTGCCCATCTGTCTCTAAACCCATCTTTTCCTCGTTCTGTCTGAGCCCCAGTTCGGTAGTACCACCCTCCCATACCACCGGCATCCGCCCCCACTTGGGCCACTCACCCACCGTCCACCCGAAATGCTCACCAAGCTCCTCAAGCTCAGCCGTCATGGACTTGGACCGCAGGGTCAGCGTGGTGCTGGGGGCCCTCTTTGGGGGTGGTGGGGCTGCAAAGAAGAGGGAGGCCTTGGCCCTCCGGTCCAGCAGCAGGCGGCGCGGGGTGGCCAGGTGCAAGTGCCACTTGCGTTCCACCGCCTGGACCTCCTCGTACTCTCTTGAAGACGAGTCACACTGTGCCAAGATCTTGTTCAGGCTGCGACTAGATGCAAACTTCTTCATGGTGTGTGGCACTCAGGGAGCAGTGGAGCCGGGGCACTTGGGCCCCTAGGGCCCATAAGACTCCCAGGACCAAGGCCTCAAATGGTAGTAAAAGCACCAGCAAAGGCTAGGATGCTGGCTGGTTCTCCTCTGAGGATCCACCCTGCGGGCTCCAAGGCCCCAGTGAGTGGGCACCACCCATGGGGGCTGGGTAGATCTCCTGCCAGACTACCTCCTGCTGCCTAAAGCACCCCAGGCCCAAGTACCACTGCTCTTTGTGAGACCAAAGTGTGGCCGGGCAAGCGGCACACCTGGGCTGGGCCGGCAGCAAAGCCTCTTAGGCCCAGGCTGTGCCGCGTCTTTGGCGTCGGCGCGGGGAGAAGACGCTTTTCCTCTTCCCTCAGGTGCCGCCTCCCCCTTCCCTGCACAATAAGCAGCAGCAGCAGCAGCGTCAACCTCACAGTTGCCATGACAACCCGGCCTCCAGGCAGCTGCTGGCGTCGGGAAGGAGGGCTCTGCCACACCAGGGCTGGGGGGATTCACAGAAGGGGAGAGGGATCTGAGGAGGGGTAACCTAGGATCAGGGGTCAGAGGCCCGGTCAGAGGTCAGGCATCTAACACTAAGGACCTGTGCAGAAAATAAGGGCACTTTATCTAATCTCAGGCAGGAGTGTGATGTCAGCTGTGTAGGATCAGAGATGGGGAAAGGAATGTGAACCTGAAGTGAAAGGTCTGAAAGGCCAGCAACCCGAACCCTCACCTCTGCGCCGAGCACTATCCTCCTCTGGTTTCCTGGTCACAGACACAACCTTCATGACCAGGCGGTTGCCACCCTGACGGATGAGACCCACCACCTGCTTGTGGCCGACCTTCACGACGTTCACACCGTTCACCTGGGATAGACAAGCAGCTAGGTAGTGGGCCAACTGTCCCAGCCTCAGACCTCGGGAGTTAGTAGTCCTCTCCCCCTCCTGCTGGGCAGGGTCAGGATGGGCCTCACCTCAATGAGGAAGTCCCCAGTTCGAAGCCCGGCCCTCCAGGCCACGCCTTCCACATCTACAGACTCAAGGTATTGGAGTGCAGGGAAGGCGGGTGTGGGTGTAAACTCTTCAATGGGGGTCTCTGCTGCAGGGAGAGTGAGAGAAGAGGCACTCACAAGCACAGATCATGTCAGGAAGCCCCCACGAAGCCATGTGACTACTAAAGCATAGCAATGGGGTGGGATGGGGTGGGATAGGCAGCAGGTAGAGCTACCCAAACCACTGTACATCCCTCCGTCAACTCCCTCATTTACTCTCAGCCACTGAGAGTGGCGATCCCCACAAGGGAATGAAAGGCTAAAAGGTGAGGGACCCGCTGCCTTGCACCCCAGTACACTCCAAACCAAGACATACAACCATATTGGGGCGGGACTTTAAAAGGGGAAAGAGGCAGAGGCCAGTCACAGAAGATACTGACAGCAACGCAACCCCCCAAATCTACATCCATTACCTTTGGCGCCCCGGAGAACAAAGCCAAAACCCTCATGGTCCCGTTTTTGCAGGATAGCCACCTTATCATCAATGACATAATCACTGACAAAGGAAAGCAAGGTTGAGTGAGGGGAGGCTGCAGGGTGCCCGGCAGTCAGGCTGAACCCACAGGGTCCCATCTGCACTAGAAAACCCAGAGTGACAAAGGCAAAAGCTAACCACCCACTCCCTGCCAACCTCCCACCTCCTCATATCCTGACATACAAGGCCCGGGTAGTGTCCCTGTGTGTCCACACCCCTGCCAGTACCTGTGTGAAGTGAGGCTGTCATAGGAACCCACGGTGTAGTGGCGGAAAAGACGCTTCGTCCGGTCTTCTCTGGTTTCTGGAGGGAGCATCAAAGGCTAAGAAATGATGGTGGCCCTCCACCTAGCTGAATTTTCCCCCAACTGTGCTGATGTGCCCCCACACCCTCTAGGCCTAGATGCAGGTAGGGGTATGGTTAGGGGCAAATCCTAGGACCCGGGGCCCAAAAGTCCTAAGGGAGTAAGGCTCAGATAACCATACATGGAAGTTAGAGCCAAGGGGAAACCAAATCTTGGCCGTCTCTCCTTACTTAACATGCAGCTAGACACCATACAAGGTCAGGCTAGTCCAGTCTGCAAGCTGAGAGTACCTGTATGTGTGTCTCACAGTCAGGTATAAAGGCTGTGTCGGTGCTTATGTGTGTCAGATGAGAGTCATGTCTGCTATCTGTACACAAGCCCAGGATCTAGTAGCCGACATGTGTTTGGGTAAGCCACGGTGCATACTGGGGCTGAGGTCATGTACGTGCTGTGCTACCAGCCTATATGTGCGCCAGTGTGAAAGTATCTGAACGTGTCCACCGATTTCCACACGACAGCCAGGTACACAAATTCAAGGGAAGAAGAAAGGGATTATAAAGTGTTCGGATTCCTGCCCTGACTGTATTCCACAGGATTATATACATATCTGTCCTTTGACCTCAAAGTTCTTCGTGGACACTATGGAGCTGCCCAGGACATACCTCCTGCTGAACATCACTTTAGCCTTGTAGATTTCCTGAAGGTTCAAATCCACAACTAGACCGTAAGCTTCAGAATGGCATCTCTGGCTGCACTTGCAGTACCTCAGACGGCCTCAAGATGGCACCACCACAGTTTTCAATTTCTTTCCTCAACACCTCTCCCTCCTTCATCTTCTCCTGCTACATAGCCTAACACTTCTCAAGACTCTTTTTTTTTTTTTTTTACTTCAACAACCATTCACCTACCAGGCACTGTTTAATTTAGAATAGAGCAAAGTCTCCGCCTTTAAGGAGTTAATAAGCTATTCTGAGAAGTGGAATCAACAAGCAATAAATATAAAACGCCAGCTAGCAGGAGAAAAGCCAGCAGGAAAGGGATGTCAAAGTACAATTCTAGGGAGAGCGACAACCTCATCAGACAGAAGAGCTGAGCAAAGATCCAGACAGTTGAGGGAGCAGCCTGCAGATATGAGGGTGCCGGACTTCTGGGGGTGAGGCAGGCAAGGTAAAGCCCATGTCAAAGGCATTAATCTGGAGCAGACTCTGCGGGGTCTGTGCAGCAAGAGGAGAGGGAGGCATGGGGGTTAAAAATTGAAATCAGGAGGAACCTGAGATTTTTTTTTTAAGTTGGGTTCCGTATTGTTTAGAGTTTTAAAAAGATTTTGCTTTTATTTCATGTGTTTCCTTACATGTACATGTGTATCATGTGTATGCCGGTGCACTCACAGGCCTGAAGAGGGAGCTAGATGCCCTAGAACTGGGGTTACAGAGAACCATGTAGGTGGTGGGTACCAGAGTCCTACAGTACCCTGCTTTGTTTTTTGTTGGGGGGGGGTTGTTTTGGGTTTTTTGGTTTTGGTTTTGGTTTTGGTTTGTTCTTCTTCTTCTTTTTTCTTTTTTTTTTTTTTTGAGACAAGATATCACTACATACAGTCTGGGCCTTGAACTTGGGATTATCTGTCTCAGTCTTCTGAATGCTAGGATTACAGGCACGTGCCACCACACCCAGCAGAAATAGATAACTCTTTCAGGGCCTGGCTTCTCAGCAACTCCAAGCTCCCTAAAGTGAAAGACCAGATGTCATGACTCCTGTGGTCACAGTGGCCGGCAGAGCACCTGACATAACAGAAGGCATGCAACTGGCGAGGTGAGTGTGTGCGTGGGTGATGCATGGGCAAACAGATGAATGAAGGGAAGGAAGGAACATAACCCAAAAAGTAAATGTGTAGACCAATGGGCAGGATGCTGAAGGTCTGAGGGAATATCAGATGAGCCAACGGACACACAGATCCGTGAGTGTACAGACATACGGTTGGGATCCATGACTGGAGGGAAGGGGAAGCTCCATGGGGTAGTAGGTGGACAGAAGGATGAGTAGGTGAGTTACAAGATAGATGGACAGAGGCAGGGTGGAGCAATGGTTAGAGGATCTTCCCATCAGATGACATGGCTATCAAGAAAAGTACTAGTCCAGGCTTCAGGTCCCTCCCGCTTTGTGTGAGACTCTCGATAAGTTAACCGTAACATCTGAACCTCTCTTTCCACAGTAGGAAACATCATGTCGGGAGGCCACTGGGTTCTAACAACCTGTATGATCAGGTTCTAACAGCCTCGTTCTGGCCACATCGACTTGCTTACTAATTCTCTTCTGTTTGTCCCACTCTAAGAAACAAACACACACTTGCTGCCCGGTCCTGAGACCAGTGCAGGTGAGACCTCACCATCATGTAAGCGGCCCTCCTCAATTCCTCCTAACCTAACCCAAGCACAGCCTTCTTCAGGCTAACCCAAGCACAGATACACTTTGCTAGCTGAACCATGTCCGTGAGACCTGCAGTGGACAGGAAGCCCCCGGTTCCACCATTCTCACACTAGCATGAACTTGGCTCACCCCTGCTCACCTCTGTGCCCTGCCCTACCCAGATCTTAACCCTAGAAGACATGCGCAGTCAAGCAGCCTCGTCCCGATCAGGTCCTATTTCAAAGCATCTTGTTTTTTAAATTGTTATCAAGCAGACAAACTATTTATTATATAACACGGATTCATGTTCTGGTTTTATTAATCACACACAGGAAAAGCCAGCTGAAAAGAATGTGCCCAGCACCAGCTCCCAAGTGGAACATTCTCTCCAAGTGGAAAGGGGCGGGCAAACGGTATAGGAGGGTATGTTAGGCCTTGAGATTCTTGCAGTCACTGGCCTCAGCATCTCCTACCCTCAGCCTTCCTCAACTCCCTCAGTGCTGCAGGAGACCAGCCTCTTTGGCTCAGGTACAGATAAGGACCTGTGTCCTGTGAGATGCTGACCTAACCTCAGTGCCGGCACAGCTTCTCTCCCTGGTCTTTCAAAGTCCTCCTTCATTCCCACTCTGGTTCCTGAATCAGAGTCTGGGGGTGGGGGTGGGGGGGTGCCAGGGCTGTTGGAAACAGGTTCCTGTTGCTAAGATGCCCTCTGTTCTCTGGCACCACTCAGCCTAAGTCACAGATAAGAAGTTCTAATCAGAGAAGCAGGATGGGCATTGTAGCTGGGGTCAGAGGGAGGCCACCATTGCTCCTATACCTCCCAAAAGGCAGCCCCAGAAGGGCCTTCACCATATGTCCAGCAGTGTAGCTCCCAATCACCTAGGTACTTTTGAACCCCACTTCCTCAGGTCATCTATGATAGCTATGGCCCTGTTAAAGGGGTCCTGTGGTTGCTAGAAAGCCTCCAGCTCCATCACTCCCACATCGGCTGCTCTGTGATCCTCTCCTTTCCCTGTGACCTTGACAAACCCTGCTCACCTCTCTGCCTTGCCCATATCTTGATCTTGGCCCTAAAATATCTGCTTGCTCAGCTCCTACTACAAGATCATTCTTTACCTTGACCCCGAGGACAGGTGACTAGACTCACGTTCTTCGCTCCAGCTTAGCCATCCCTCACAAAGCTAACTGCTTATGTAGCAAAATGAAGAACAAACGTTCCCACCCCTTGTGGGTAATGACATCGCAGAAACATACTAAACACTGGCCCCCACCTCCCAGGATTGCTAGGATAGGTCCACAGCTTCATTCACATAAAAATGCTAAAACTCATGTCTGGCGCTGCTCAAACACAGAAGCTGGCAACGGGCACAGTTCTAGAACGCTGTGTTGGATCCTCTATCAACATGAGGAACCCATCTGCAAACTACCCAGAGAATTCAACCTAAACAACACCTTTGCTTTTTGGCTTCTTCAGGCTAACTCTGGATCTCCCCCTCTCGGTGGCCTGTGCATCTGGGGGTACACTTGCCCTAACCACTGACAGCCAATACAAGGTCCAGCTTGGAGCAAAACTGACAAACATCTCCTCCTCTTGGATTCTGACTCCCAACTCAAACCCCTCTCCTTCCTCGACTTCAGAACAAGGTCCAAATGTTCCTGGGTCCACAGTTCTCAGACCCTTGCCCCATCCTCGTGGAAAAGCGCAAGACTAGCTCCTGTTCAACAGGTGTACAGCTCCTGCCCCTTGTCCTTTACTCTGTCCTGTTGGAACTAGGCCCCAAACCTCTGAAATCATTTCCACCTGGATGCCACATCTACTTTCCACAGGCAGCAAATGAATGCAACAACGCCCTTCTATCCTCCCAGCAAACCCATCAAGGCAGGGAAAGGATAAGCCATGTAAGAAAGCACAGCACCTAGCCAGCAGTAGGTCAGTAATTGAGTCCCTGCATAACCTAGGCATCCATCAAGTTTGACACGGGGCCGAGGTTCCTGCCCACATGACTGTGGGCTCCCCTGGGAAACTGCCAACTTAGGGTAGAGGCCACCACAACCCAGGGCTCAACCTTCCTACGTACGGAGAAAGGGACATGTGTACCCTGATCCGGACATACCACTGGTAATCACCCCGGAGTTCGGAGTTCGTTTGTCCTACCCACTCTCTGGAAACAAGATAATCGACCTTGTGGCCTCCCAGAATACCCGAGGGCTCAATGAAAGAGTATACCCCAGACGTGAAACCAGCCCGCACTGGGGACTCCAGAGGACCAGCGACTGTCTTCAGAACCAGAACCTAAAGGGATCCTTCCTAGAAGTCCAAGCATTCAGAAAGATTGGACCACAGTTCCTCAGCAGCCCCAGGAGCTGCAGCCTTTCACCTCACATCTCTGTAAGAACAAGGACCATCCTTCATCAGCTGCCCTTAGACCATACGAACCCCAGGTACCCCGAACCATTCCTTGGGGCCCAACTGGCCTCATTTCCTCTTAGCTGGCCCATGCCTCCTGCTCTGCCCACTTGGGCAATCTGTCCACTTTGGAAAAACGCCTCTTTCCTCACACTGACCTCTTTACATAGGTGCCAGCCGCTCATGAATTGGGAGCTCCACGAACCTGGTATTTCCGTGAAGAATGTACCAGAAGGGTGGTCACCATCACGGGAGACTCGTGTGCCAACACGCCGACAGAGGATGACCACGAGTGTATTCCTCCAGTCGGCATGGCAAAGGTTCACATACCCATGTTCCTAGGAACACGCATGCGTGCCCATCGTGTATATGTGCAAATCTGAATGCATCTTGAGTGCACTGAGTTTGCTTCTCAGTCTTAGTGACATATCCAGATGTGTTACCAAGAAGACCAAAGAGAGACTAGAAGTGTCTGCCCTTTGGGAGGTATCTGAGCAAAAACTGGGGTTACTTACCATGCCGTGTGTCATACTGTCGCATCTGCACTTCCTCCACACAGTCAGCTGGGAACCAGCCTGTACGGCCCTTCACGGTTCCCTCCCAGAAACCGCCCTCCCCAATGCTGAGCACTAGGGAAAGAAGCCAGACAGGTTGTCAGGGCAAAGGAGGACAGCAGGGTACCCTCTTCCCTGCCACCTGAGGCTCGGGTTTTGCCCACGACGCTGACCCTTGCTCTCTTTCCAAACCAACATCCCTCCTAGCATTTTCCCTAAGAAGATTCTGGGATCCATACAGAAGAGAACTGAACAGATGGCCTCAGCAAAGGACGGACATGTGGGAGACAGACAGACACAGATGGACACACTGGAAGAGGGCAGAGGCAGAAACAGGGGCCATACTCTTGCTCCTGGCCACAGTGACCACTTCCCCCCAACCACGATAACTGACATCCACCCAAGAGTCACTGCCCAGAGCTTGGGGTCATTACGAGGCAGCCAGTGGAACAAGCCACATTATAGACCAGGAAGGCTAGTCTCCACAACTACTTCCACCTCACAGACAGAGTGCTCAAGGTAGAAACCCAATAATCGCAGAGAACTCCATGAAGGGGGGTGGGGGGCGGCCTGTCTTCCCCATCCATGGGAGAAATGTGTGCTGTACACAGGCAACCACAACTGTTACAGATCCCCCGAAGATGGCAAGCCCCCCTCACCTGTATCCCAAGGATTGCCAATGAAGAAGCCCCAGAAGTGACACAGGAACCCCACAAGGCATGGGAGCTCTGAAATGGGTTAGGGTCCTTCCAACGCAAAGACCCAGTTGTCGCTGCACCCCCCCCACCCCGTCGTAACAAGAACCGCCCCAAAAGAGCCAAGCCTCTACCATGACAGCGCCAGAGCTTCATGCCAGGAGCCCATAAAACCAGGGCCAGAGACTGAGACCCCGGCGACACAGCAGCTTGTTGGAATGACCCAGGGATACCCCAACCACGGAGACACCCCCCACCACCACCAAATGGCAATGAAATAGGCCGCGTGCCCCGGGGCCCGCCCCCCAACCCAGCTCGCGCCCCTCACCCCGCCCGCGCCCCTCACCCTTCACGGCCTCGCCGCGGTGCAGCGGGATCTCGCCCTCGCCCTGCGGGCTGTGCGCCTTCACAGCGATGAACTTGCGGCCGGGGACGGCACTGTAAAGTTTCCGCTTCGGGCCCCGGGGCGGCGGCGCGGGGGGCGCGGGAGACGCCGGGCCGGGGCCGGGCGCGGGGCCGGATCCGCCGGGCCCGCTGGGGCTGTAGACGAACACGTAGGTGACGGACGCGATGCCGGGGGGCAGCGGGCACGCGAAGCCGGCGCCCGGGGCCTCCATGGCGCACGGCCCGGCCCCGCCGCCGGCCTCACCGCAGCCGCCGCC